GCTGCAAAACAACATTTGTTTTTCTCAGAACCCCCAAAATGGCGTAAGAGACATGTTTACGATAACTACAGGCTATCAGTTTAGGCCGTCATTCCAGGAGTATTAACAAAATAACTCCAACCGCTTGACATTGGTGTAAACAGAGCGTTCAAAGTGGAGTTGCGAGCGGCGTGGGAGCGATAGATGGCAGACTGCGAACACAAGTTTACTAAGACGGGGAGGCAGCGCCGGGTGAGTTACGCCACCATGTGCGAATGGATTGTGGATGCCTGGGCTAATGTATCTACCTTAACTTTTGTCCGAGCTTTTGCCAAAGCCGGCATCATTGCTGAACAGCCACCTGGCAACAAGACTGACTGACAATGATGAGGGAACCTGGCATGTTTGATGGCAAAATTGCCCAGCTGTTCATTTCAGACACAGAAGATGATAAAAAAAATAATTGTGTATAGTAGAATAAAGTTCAACTAAACTCACTGTTTTGGTTCCGTGATCTTTTTTTGTTGTAGACCGTATGTTTTAGCAATCGCCTTATGGTCCAGAAAATACAGTAGTGCAGAACCTGGAATACCAACAGATGACTCCAGACGGGTCAGAAGGATCATGCTGTGATCCACAGAGGCAAAAGCAGCAGACAGAGAGAAAAGTAAAATAACTGCTGATTTTCCTGCATCAACAGTTTTAAAAAAAAAGATCATTTAAACTTTTAAAAGGGCAAAGTGGGTCCAGTCAGGCGTTTTGCACATCTCAATGGTTGCCATGGAGATTGAAGGATTCCTCAAACATGCATGAAAGAATCAAGGCAACACTTCTGCTATGTTTTTGATGACATGATAGCTAAAACTGTATATTTTATATAACACTGCTCCTTTAAACAGTAGAAACATTCAACTGCCTAAGCTCCGTTCGGCCGAAGGAGACAGGCACTGGTTTTAGGCAAAATAACACAGAACTAAACAAATTTACACGAAAATATCAAAATTTGCACAGAAACAATATTTAGACAGTTTGAACAAAAAAAGTGAATGTGGGGGTTAATTATGGTTTAAAGTAAACTGTCAGGCCGTCTTTTTTTAAGATGCAACATGATGCTGCCACCACCATACTTCACAGTTCGGGTGGCACAAGCATCACCCTTTTTCCTCCAAATGTAACGATGACCATAAAGGTCCAAACAGTTCCAGTGTAGCTTCAGCAGACCACAGGCCATGTCCCCAAACATGACGATCTTTGACCCTGTGTGCAAACTTCAATCTGGTTTTTCTATGTTTCTTTTGGAGTAATGGCTTCCTCATTACTGAGTGGCGTTTAGCATAGAACAGGTTTTACTGTGCTAAACGCTAACCCGCTTTAGCCAACATCTTATGATTAAGTCTTTTGTTCTGGGGTCAATCTGGACATTTTGGACCAAAACACTTTCATCTCTGGGACACAAATGAAAGTCTCCCTCCTGACAGGTATGAAGGCTGGACATTTCCATCATGTCTATACTTGTTTGAACTCATGAATGCGGCGCCTTCAAACATCCGTAAATTGTTCCCAAGGATGAATGAGATTTGTACAGCTATTCCTGATATGTCAAAAAAGAAGGCAGGGTGTTTCAGTTCTGGTGTTTCAGTTCTGGTATTATAATACATCTATGGGTTTCCCTCCAGTTTACTCAAATGTGTCAAAGGAAACCCAAAAGGTTTGACCCAAGTCAAACAGCTTAAAAAAACAATTATCCCTGACCAAACATATGTAAACGTGTTCATTCAAATAAAGTTACAATTTTTTTTTTAAATATGTTCTTGCTAAATTTTCTGGCATTTAGAAAATAGAAATAATTGTGGTAATTCCAGCAAAACTAAGACAAGAAGCTTGGCCTGATTTAACTTCAGAAAGTGAAAAATATATATATTTTTTAATTTGGTATATGTAAACTTCTGGTTTCAGCTGGATGATTGGATTGAATTGACTTTCTTACTGGAAATCTTTTGAGACTGTGAACTGATAAAGGGCATGGGCTACTTACTGGTTTCAAAACCACTGGTCAGAAATAAACTGCACCAGTCATAAAGCTGCTAGCTCTGCAATGAGTCCCCTGTTTATTCAGTCAGTTGTTACACATTTAAACAGGAGTTTAATACAGCCGATGTTAGAGACAGTTAGGATATAATTATGTGCCTTTTTGGTTGTTTTTTATTCAGCATAATATAAAAAATAGCCTCTCAAGACGGTCGACCCTCTTGATACAATTGATAAGTCAGGTTTTTCAGAAGATGGCCGCTTCTCTGAACGTTAGTCGATGGATAGGATCAATAAACTTCACATGAACTCATTAATATAGCCCTTTACTGTGGTTTCACAAAGTTCACACTTGGCTTTAAATGTTCTATTTTTGTATTTTAGTTTCTGAACTAGAGCAGAGTAAAGATGATGAAGGTAGTAGTTAGCCATTTTCCCAATCGGAAGCCAGCTTCATCTTCATTTGACGGTTGATCGTCCCAAGTATAAAATTTTTCCAGCAGTCATTTAGTTTGCTAAAACGTGAGGGTGTTTCATACCTATTTGGTATAAGATTATCTGGGGTGTCCGGGTGAAAACCAACAGTCTGTGCTGATCATCCATCTCCTCCTGAACCTGGCGATGATTTCTTTAAACTCTGAAAACGATTTTCCAACCGGAGTTAAACACTCGTTGATAAACTATTATTGAAACTGGGTTGAAGACATTTTTTTTCAAAGAAAACACTCATGTATTTACCTAAAACGCCGAATCCGTCTTCAAACCACTTTTTAACAAAGGAAAAGCTAACCTGCTATCTGTGCTCCGTCTTTATTTCCCGTGTGTTTCACCGTGGCTCCACTGACGAAACAGTAAAAGGCTTTTAGTTCCGCTTTAAATTTTATGATTCCCACTGAAACGCCTCCTTTACGATACATTTATATTTAGAATATTGTTGCAAAGTTTATTTATTTAAGGAACACAATTCATTAAATGAAAAAAACACAGATTAATTACACATTGTGAAGTTTTCCATACTTTATTTTTTGCATACAGGTAGTGAAAACACTAGGTTTATAAGATGAAAATATTACACCAGACCAATAAAAAGACATTTTAATTAAGAAATGTGGGCTTGATGAAGAGAAAACAGCTTAAAGGTTTTTAAAATTAATTTTATTCTAATAAAAATGCCTCTCCCTAAAAAAAGAGAAAGGAACTCCAACTTAAAAAATAAAAAATGTTAATTTGTTTACGAGCAAATTAAGTTTGTCAAACTCAGTTTATTTATTTGGATAAACTTGATTTGATTACTCATACCAAATTAACTCATTTTAAAAAATATTATCATCTGTTTTTTCTAAAAAAATTTTCAATGTAATTGAAACATCTAATTTATTTAATTTGATTAGATGTTTAAGCTTGGACAATAGGACTTCATTTTTTCATATTGGCACATCAGATTGTGGTTTTAAAACAAATACAAATATTATTGTATATTTGTATACAATAATACAAATAATACAAATATTATTTGTATTTGTTTTAAATAAAATCCACAAAGACTACTCAAAAAAGAGTGATAACCTGGGATGTATTTTGTAAAGTTAGTGGTAAAGATGCTGTTATGAATAATTATTACAATTTTAAAAGTAAGAAGATACATACAAAAGTGGAAAATACATTCTGATGAAGTTTGTAGTATCTTCTGAAAATAAACTTTATAAAGTTGTTTTTTTTTGTTTTTTTTTTACCTTAAATGTTGTGTTTTCATTAGCTTTAAGTTGAAAACCTTCAAATTAATTGAAATAAAAGCTTGAAAACATCAGACTGGGAATAATCTACAAAGTGTGTTTCACTCAGAGAATTCAGTCAGCAAAATAAAACAAAATTAATGTTTGTTTGTTTTTGTTTTTCATTTATAATATTGAAAAAGGTGACTCAGCGGGATTTGGAAAATTCAAAGCGGAACAAAACATCTTTAACAGTTTCCTCAGTGGAGCTACAGAGAAACGCACCGGAGATAAAACACAGCACAGATAGCAGCGTTAGCATCGCCTTTGTTATAAGGTAGTTTGAAGACGAGTTTGTAGGTTTGATATATATTTGAGTGTTTGTAGTAACAGTGTCTTCAGTTCAGCCTCAGAGAAAATGGATTAACGAGCAGTTAATTCCTGCTGAAGAAACAGAGTTTAAAGAAATCATCGTCAAGTCCGAGGAAGACATGGATGCTCTGCGCAGACTGCTGGATTTCTCCAGATTACCCCTGATAATCTTACACCGAATAGGTAGGAAACACACTCAGGTTTTACTGATGAGACAGGCTAAAGAAGGGGCTAAAGTGAGTTGGAGAAAAGTTAAAGGAAGTTGTTTGGGACGAAGCTAAACTCGGCTACCTATTTAAAGTACAACAAAGTAAATGACCCTGGAATGACAAATCTGCTATATCTTTATAAGACTGTGACACAAATCCATAAGAACATATACCACAATAGACACGTGATCAGAATAAATCAAAACTACGTCCCATAAAATGTTGAATAACCGCGCAGCACTCTGGGAGATGTAGTCAGTCGCTCCAGGAGAAAACATCACCCCTTAAAGTTGTAGTATGTAACTCTTTGAAAAGAAAAAAACGTTTTCTAGGAAGAAAATTAAGGTTCTAAGAAGTTTAACACATTATTTAACACAATAATGTGTTAAACTTATTATGCTGTGACAGTATAACATGTTTTGTTTGTTTGTTTGTTTTTAAAGAGAGAGAGCTCCTTTGTCTTCCCCAAGTGCTCCTAGTACCAATTACAGAAATTCACAACTCAATCAGAAACAACCAGTCTTAATGCTGTCAATCAACCTTGTGCACACCCACGTGCTCTCTGATACAATTCCGCTTGTTCACTGCAACGGAGCTTGCCACGAATGCTAAGGCTAGTTAGCATGGTTACTGATGATGGCGGATAAATGGTTTTGCAGGAACGGTAAGCTGTTTCTCTGCCATTAGCACATTTAGTGGTATTGCTTGGCAGTTCTAACACCCTCGCCCTGGGTCTGATTGGTTGTTTCTGACTGGTAGTGGCCAGAAATGACCAATAGCCATCTAAATCCTATTATTGGCTTCAGATGCCAATAATAGCACAAGGTGGAAGTAGAGGAGATTGATCTTTTCACAGTTTGTCTCATATACTGTCACAACATGGTGACAGTTTTAACAAATATGGAAAATATATTTTTGTAAAAGTTACAGCTTTAATGAACCATTCTAAGTAAAAGCTCTCGATGTAAGCCAGCTCTGGCGACATTGACATTGGGGTGTATTGCCTGCCCACAGGTTATTTATTTTATGTGGTATTTGTTTTGCTTGTTTTTAAGCTCAGAGTGGCGAACTTTCTATTATTCCTATCTCGATTTGACACAGTGGAGGCTCCTGGACTTCCTGTATCTGTGCCGTCTGTCCCCTGCTCTTTTTTCAGCCGTTACAAGCCAACAAATGACAGAACTTTGCACAATTTTTCTAAACAAGCCAAGTGAGTCAAGTATTGTTACTGATTGAAGATAATGTTAGCTAAATGATGACTAGTTAATCCATGCCAATATTTTGTTAAGCTTCTTAGTAAGAATAGGCTACTAATTAACAGGTGGGTGGTTGAGTAACTTTTTGTAAAAAAAGGTGCTTATGTGTAGTTTCACTGCACTGTATTTCTAACTTTTACTAGAATAGATTGAGTTAGAAATGGAAACTTTAGATTCTTCCTGCAACGTATGAGCTAATGTTTATGCTAATCGGAGCATAATTACTCGGGATTTTCAACATGTCACTGTTTCCAACATGGTTATTTTATTAGACAGGTTACATAAATGTTCCTGTATTTACATTAAATATACACACTATTTACACATCTATTTACCTTTTGATCAGAAGAATATCAAGTTAATTTTCATACCAAATAAAGCCTACTTAGATGTGCCAAGTTATTAACTTTTTAACTTAAATTTCAAAGCTTTTATTGTCTGTTTGTCCAGATCTTCCACAATGCTGTGAATATAAAAAGGAGGAAGTTTTCACTGAGCTCAGGAACCAGGATGGGAACTCCACTTTAGAGCAAGGCAAAACAGAACCTTTGGTGATAAAAATAGAGCAAGAAGAGCCAAAACATCTGGAGATAAAACTGTTCAAAGTGGAAGACAATCAACCCTTCTTCAGTCCGGATGAAGAGCAGCTTTTGCTGAAACAGGAGACTGGAGACATTTTGGTGACTCCTTCTAATGTGCAAAGAATCAGTGATGAAACAGAACCTAACAGTAACCAAAAACTGCAAAGGAAACATCACCAAGACCAAAATTTATTTGCCTGTAAAATCTGTGATAAAATCTTTACCTTAAATAGTAAACTGACTAAACACATGAGAAGTCACTCAGGGGAGAAGTCCTATTCACATAAAACCTCAAGAAAAAGTTTAGATCTTGACAATACAACTCATACGGAAAAGAAGCTTTCCTCGTGTGTTATTTGTAGAAGAAGTTTCAGGAACAAAAGTAATTTAAACAATCATATGAAAATTCACAGACCTCAGAAGACTTTCTCATGTCCAACCTGTAAAAAAACTTTTACCCAAAAAAGTAATTTAACTACTCACTTGAGGATTCACACAGGCAAGAAACCTTTCTCTTGTGTGACCTGTGGAAAAAAATTCAGAAACAAATCTCATTTAATTTCTCACATGAGAATTCACACTGGTGAGAAGCCCTTTACATGTATGACTTGTGGAAAAAGTTTCACTCAAATAGGTCATTTAGGTACTCATATGAAAAGTCACACAGGTGAAAAGGCTTTCGCATGTACGACTTGTGGAAAACAATTTAGGGAAAAAAGGGGTTTAACTTCTCACATAAGAAGCCACACAGGTGACAAGCCTTTCTCATGTGGCACCTGCCGAAAAGGTTTCTTCACAAAAGATGGTTTAAGTTATCACATGAGAATTCACAAAGGTGAGAAGCCTTTCTCATGCAAGAGCTGTGAAAAAACGTTCACCAGTAGAAGTTGTTTAGCTTCTCACATGAGGACTCATACTGATGAAAAGCCTTTCTCATGTGGGACCTGTGGAAAACGTTTAAGTAGCAGATCTCATTTTACGTATCACATGAAGACTCACACTGGTGAGAAGCCTTTCACATGTTGTACTTGTGGAAAACGTTTCATTCAAAAAAGTCATTTGGCTACTCATATGAAAGATCACACAGGGGAGAAGCTTTTCACATGTGGGATCTGTGGAAAAGGTTTTAGTCTAAAAAGTTGTTTAACTATTCACATGAGAACACACACAGGTGAGAAGCCTTTCACATGTGGGACCTGTGGAAAGTGTTTCTCTACAAAAGATGGTTTAAACTCTCACATGAGGATCCACACAGGTGAGAAACCATTCTCATGCAAGTGCTGTGAAAAAAACTTCACCAATAAAACCAATTTAACTTTTCACATGAGAAGTCACACAGGTGAGAAGCCTTATTCATGTATGACATGTGGGAAGAGTTTTAGGGTAAGAAGTTCTTTAACTATTCACATGAGGACTCACACAGGTGAGAAGCCTTTCTTATGTATGACTTGTGGAAAGAGTTTTAGTGCTAGAAATTGTTTAACAATTCACATGAGAACTCATACAGGTGAGAGGCCTTTCTCATGTGTTAAATGTGGAAAGCATTTTAGGGAAAAAGGGGCTTTAACTACTCACATGAAAATTCATACAGGTGAGAAGCCTTTCTCATGTGAGATCTGTGGAAAAAATTTCACCAATAGAAAGAGTTTACCTGTTCACATGAGGACCCACACGGGTGAGACGGCATAATGTGAACCTGAAGTACCAAGTTGCTCTGTAATTTACCTTGTATTCTGTACAACTGACTAAAGGGCCAATATTGTCCAAAAGGTCACCCCTCCCCTTCAACTCAGCTCCTTCAGACTAGCCAGGAGTAATTTTGCAAACACCTAGTGGAACTGCACATCTTTTTGAGCTCATATGAGCTACTTCTTAGTACAACGCTGGTAAAAATGTTGCTAAAGGTTTAATAGTGGGGCGATGTTATGATGACTTCCTGAAGACGGTGTTTCAGAAGGAGCAAGAGTTTTATAAAAAGACAGAGGCCCAACTTCAAGGCATTAAATTACAAAGTTTTTTTTAATATTTGATATAGATAGCATTTTATAACTGAAGGTAACATGGATACTTTATTGTGCTATAAAATGGCACTATATGCCTGGAAAACATAATGTTGCCCCTTTAAAATGTAGCATCTTGGATTGAAAAAAAGGCTTTTCAAGTAGCTTAAGCTGAAATAATTAAGTTCTTCTGATGATGTCACATTTCTAAACGTATTTAAGTGAAAACCAATTAAAGGAATGATGGATCTAAATTATTTTAAGAATCACATTTGTAAATCTTTTGAAGTCTTTTTCTGTTTTTATGCTTTATTGTATCTACACTGTTTTTGTTCAGTTATTATAGCGATAACCGTATCGATTGATAAATCACAAAATAGTTGCCCATTTGGATTGATTAAAAGCTAAATATTACACATTACTTGAATTATTTTCTCTCAGTTTGAAATACTGCCGATTATGCTGGGTTTCCTTAGATATAAACTTTTTAAGCTACTTTGAATAATTAACTGAACTTACTATAATGTGTCATAACTAGAATCAATTGAAATGTTTGATTGAATTGAAATTATTTTTTTGGTAAAGTTCGTTGAGACGACATTTGCTATGAATTTGCGCAATATAAGTAAAACTGAATTACATTTTTTTTTTAAACATCTTTCTTGATTTAATTCTTCTTAAAGGTACTCTAAATTGTATGTTTGTCTTTTACACAGTTTGGGTTTGAAAAGGTTTTTATTTTCTTAACATGTTAGAAAATGTATTGACGAATTTCTGATACAAAAATGGAAGTGAAAAACATTGTATTTGTAATTCTTATGTAATAAACTAAATTCACCATCAACATGGTCTTCTTCTTTCAGATTAGCAGCAGGACTCGTATAATAGTAAATTCCTGCTGTTTGTCCATCCGGATTTGCAGCGTTTGCACCTCAGCTCCTCTGAGAACCCTTGCGAAAAATGAATTTATTTAAGTATATTTTAAATATGCTATAATTTTCTAAAATACATTATTAGTTTGTTATCAAGAGGATATACTTAAGATTATATTAAAAATGTAAAACAATAAAAAATTTTAAAAACTTCTAATACGCTAAGAATGTATTCTGGTATACTTTCTAAAAGTATAAATTGTCTAAGCTATACTTTAAATTCTGATTAAATATATTACTAAAATTACACTTTGGATAATCCTCTTAAAAATACAGTTTACATGTATTTGTAAAAATTAATATTTCAAATCCACAATTTAAAAATATATTGCAAATATATACAAACAATACATTTCTGAAGTTGCACTTTGGGTAATATTTTCAAATGGGTTATGTATATATTGTTTTTAAAACTTTAATGCATCTCAAAATAAATCAGTCGGTCACTGTTAAGCCATTTATGCTGTTCAAAAGTACAGCTGTTGAATTAAAATCATTTCTGACCACTCCCTGTTGTTCCTGACCTCATATGCATCAAACTTGACCAGGGTGCCAAACTTTTATGAGGTTCATTTTGATTTGTTTTAACATAGGAAGCTACCCTCAGACTCTTAAAGTCCTGGGATCGACTTTTGCACATAGTTTAAGCTTAGTGAAGCTCATACATATACTTATATCCAAATAGCATTACTTTTAGTGTCATATTAAAGAAACTACAAAATCAAGGTGTTGATACTTTTGTTTGAAGCCTGATACATACTTATTCAACAGCAGCCATATGTGCAAAGAACAAATGGTCTCATAAGCCAATTGTCAGCAGAAACTAAGGAGCAGAAGTGTCTGCATTTAACAGGAAACTGTTTTAACAGGAAAAGGATTAGCCGCCTGCCTCGCCTCAGGGCTGAAGCAGGATGCTGCTTTGACTTACATGTCTCAGTTCAAGGTCAGTTTTTAACACCTATGAATAGAGAAAAAGACATCAGCTAGAACATTGGCTGATCATAGGGAAAATATTGACACCCACCCTTGCAGGATATGCAGTTAATAACTTGTAGATACATCTCTGATGCATATGAGGTACATCACACATTTTAATTTCTTGGAATAAGGAACTTGGTTGTCAGAAAGTTCTCAGAGTTGGTTGACATGCTGATGTTTTGCAATCGTTTCTACTCACACCTGCATGTGTGACAGCCTTGTTCCGGAGGTCAACTGAAAGTTTTCTCCAACACATCAACAAAAAAAAAAGATTTCAAATGTACAGTAAAGGTATTTTTGCTTTCCAAAGTTGGGTGTTCCCATTTGGGTGTTCAAATGTGTTTTATGACTTGTTGAAAACAGAGCAAAATTAGATGGTGTAATGCATGATACTAGGCAGGCTATAGGTGGTAAGGTAGTCAAAATAATAAATACCAGGATGTTTGTTTATTCTGGCCTAAATTTTAACCAGTGGTTTTATAATCAATGATAGATATTTCCTCAACCTATATAAAAAGAACCACAGACAATGTCACTTAGTTTTTCAGCCAGACTCTTGCAAGAGGGAAAGTACAGAGAATCAGTTTCTGCAAGCCGATCACCGTGCGTTCAGACGCTCTTCTGCTGAAGCTTGTCTTTTATTAGCAAGGAAGGGGGAGAATGCAATGTGTAAGAATGAAAGCAGCGTTTTTGACCTGAGTGAAGTTGGCCCCCCCACCTTCTTCAAATCAGACAAAATTGGCATCAAGTGTTTGTGCTACGTTTGTGCTGGTTTGTGCAGCAAAAATTTTCGTTTGTGCCGCTATCATTTTAAAGATATAAAGAAATGTTTCCAGAGGTCATCCAAGGTCAACCAACCTTCTTCAAATCAGACAAAATGGGTGTCAATCAACTCGGCTATGTTTGTGTTGATTTGTGCAGCAAAATTTTTTGTTTGTGCTGCTTTGGCTTTGAAGATATTAATGAAAGTGTTAAGGTCAAAAGGTCAACCAGCCCCCCCCACTTTTATGAAATCAAACAAAATCGGTGTCAAACATTAGTGCTATGTTTGTGCTGGTTTGTGCAGCAAAAGTTTTCGTTTGTGCCGCTATCATTTTAAAGATATAAAGAAAGTTGGATTTCATAAAAGTTGGGGGGCTGGTTGACCTTTTGACCTTTACACTTTCATTAATATCTTCAAAGCCAAAGCAGCACAAACAAAAAATTTTGCTGCACAAACCAGCACAAACGTAGCACAAACGTTTGACACCAATTTTGTCTGATTTGAAGAAGGTGGGGGGGCCAACTTCACTCAGGTAGCATTTTGTCTTAATAGCAGGGAGGGGGGACACCAAAACTAAATTCTGCACACAGACAGTTTCACCACTACGGAGTATCTCAAGAAGATAAGACCCCACCTGCAAAAACATGCTCAAGGTTAAGGGAAAGTTTATCAAGTTCTTTCTCTCTATGGTGAGAAAACTAAAACCTTTAAATGAAAATCAAACTAGTCATATAAAACTACTAATGTAGTAACAAAACATAATAATTCTAACAATCAACATTAAGTGTCCTTAATCCTCTGAATCTCCTCCTGCCAATCCACCACATTGCATTAGTCATAGTGTTGAGACTCAAAGTAGCTTTAATGTATCAGAGCTTTTTGCTGTAGTTTGACTCCACAGGTTATTCTATTTTCTTGCTGGAACTTTGCTGTTTGTCAGCAGCAAAGTTTCCTGCGACAGGAAACTCAGGAAACTGAGTCAGTTTCATATAAGGCTCAAAGTAGGAAGATGTTTTAATGGAAAATTGTGTTTTAGTCCAAAAACAATGCAGTTTTATAACATATGAGGAAAAAATGTGCTGCAGGTTTATTGTTTTCAATCAAAGTAAATTTTCTTTTTCAGATTTTGCATTATATCTTCTAATATTTATCAGATCTTTAATAACTCCAAAGAAAAGCGCATCACAGTAGTTCATGCTGCTGAAGCCTTTAGACTGAAAAAGTGTGGAAATTTGTAGTTCGATCAGGGCCTGCCCAAGGCATAAGTAAACTAAGCAACCCCACTTTAAAACAGGGGAAACGGTATCTGATGGGTAATATTGAGCATTAAATTGCATTGCCCTGTTTTTAATTCATATAGCATTATGCTATCTATCTATCTATCTATCTATCTATCTATCTATCTATCTATCTATCTATCTATCTATCTATCTATCTATCTATCTATCTATCTATCTATCTATCNCATGAACAAGAGCCAGAACATCTGGAGATAAAACATGAACAAGAGCCAGAACATCTGGAGATAAAACATGAGCAAGAAGAGCCAGAACATCTGGAGACAAAACATGAACAAGAACCAGAGCATCTGGAGATAAAACATGGACAAGAAGAACCAGAACATCTGGAGACAAAACATAAACAAGAAGAGCCAAAACATCTGGAGATAAAACATGAACAAGAACCAGAGCATCTGGAGATAAAACATGAGCAAGAAGAGCCAAAACATCTGGAGATAAAACTGTTCAAAGTGGAAGACAATCAACCCTTCTTCAGTCCGGATGAAGAGCAGCTTTTGCTGAAACAGGAGACTTGAGACATTTTGGTGACTC